AGTGCAAAAGCACATGTCGAAAAAACACTTTATCGCGTTCCATTTTTCACAAAGCAAAAGAAATTGTTGTTTAGGAAAATAATTGTGTATGCTGACTGAATGTTATCGAGAAATGTCGAAATTAATCACAAACTACCTGTTTCGTTAGTAATAACTACTAGAACTGTTTGCATTGCCATCTAACATTTGCGGGCGGAAACTAAGTTAAGGTCCTAATAAAAGCGTCGAATTGTACACACAGTCTGCTGCGGAGAAAGCGACATGACTCGACGCATTGTTACAAACGATGCAAGAGATTATGAGACGTAAAGCCAGTCTGAAGACTGGCAATGTTAAAACTTCCTTAGTTAAGGCTGATGACGTGACTAGGTGCATGGTTTGTGAGGTTATCTTCTCTGTGATGAAACGAAAACATAATTGCTGGGCTTGTGGAATAGTGAGTTTCCTTTCGAAAGAAATTTCGCAATCTTGTAAAGTGCATAATAATATAGTTATTGTAATCTACAATGTATTTGTGTTTTTTTCTAGGTTTGCAGTAAATGCTCAAATCAGAAATTATTATTTGAAGACAATAAGAATATGAGAGTATGCAGATTATGTCATGCCGCGCTCACTCAGCCGCTCGCTAAATCACCGTCATCGCCCTCTGGACCAGTGCCAAGTTTGCTGCAGGTTTCAGCGTGCGCGCCTTCAGTATTATTTGACTATCTGTTGTTGAAAACTCAGGCTAGTAAACCCTGGACCAGACAAGATGGCGGTTCAAGATGCACCATTCTAGAAAATGCTATTATCTTCAAGCATCTTCTCAAGAGGACAAAGAGAAGTACGTCATATAGCAATTTATATAGATTACAACTTTTCGTGATCAAATAATGTAATACGTGTTTCTTTTTTTTTATGGATGTTTCAGGTGGATGCACGCGTTGGAGTTGACTACGAAGGCTGAACTACTTCATTTTACCCAGACGGAGGATGAAAGCGCACAAGAAAGTCAATCGATAAACGATGTACAATGAACGTTTGTACCTTTTTATCTACCAAACTAGCCAATTTTTTTACTATCGTACTCGTAAGCGAGAAGAGGACACAGCAATGTAAGATAATCGTTAGTAGATAATTAGCCATATTTAAAATGACGTTAACTTATGTTATATATATATATATATATATATATATATATATATATATATATATATATCTTGTTATTAGTGTACACTACAAGAGAAATCAAGTCAATAGCGGCCGCTGCCGAAACGCTTGTTGTTTTGTATAATGTTCTGTTATAGTATATTTATAAATATATATGTCGTTCGATCACGATACGCTGTGCTGTCCGTAATTTTGCAATGGAGTCAGTAGGACGATGCTTGAGGAAAATTACTCGCTTCAATGATAATATAATTACTTAGGCTACGAAAAATCGATTTTATTAAACAAGCAATGAATTCTACAATCTTATCAATAAATTTATTTCATTGTAGTTAACATTACATGGTTTCTTTAAACATTTCTAAGCAGTTCCTATCTGAGATTATACGTATAAAAATATAATAATTTAATATTTATTTTAATTTATACTAAATATCGACACTTAACGTCAATTAACGCGCTTTTTAACGTATAATTTTATTCACGTTTCTTGAATCTCACATTGAGACCATCAACCGCGTATTTAAATACATGAACGCTTATTTTACTGGTTTCGTTTTTACTTTCCTCATTTTTATGTGATAAACTTATTTCGTAATTCAAGACAAAATTGATTAATGTAATTTTCGCCAATAATGAGGCCAGCCTTTGTCCTGAAAATTTGAGATAAAATTCAAGAAAAATGAAAAATAGCAAATTAAGACATATTTTTCGCGTAATAAATTTTTACAACTGACCTATACATGATCGTGGTCCAATACCAAATGTCAGTGATTCGTAGAATTTCTTGTTTTCTGTCTCTCTCAATGGAACAAAATTGCACGAATCATTGAAGTATCTAGAATCTTGATACATTGCATTTACAGATACATATATTGAAACACCTTTTTCAATCACTAACCCAGTCTCTGGCACCTAGTAAGAATATATAATAAAATATATAATAATTAAGGAAACGATTTGTATATAGTAACTTGTTCGATCATTTATCCCTTGTCCACAACTTTGCTTTAATCTTTAAGCCGTAATAAATTGACCAATCACAGTCGATTATTTTAAAAATAATCAACTGTTGTTGGTCAATTTCTTAAGGCTTAGGAATTAAAACAAGGTTGGACAAGGGATTACAGATTTGTGTCGATTACCTCAAAGTCCTTTTCAGCTATCCTGTCGACGACTGGTATAGGAGGATGCAACCTCAACGCTTCGTTTACAACGCAATCCAAGAAAGGCATTTCGTTAATTAATTCCATAGTTATTTCTTTCCCTGATAGATACTTCTTTATTTCCTCGTACAAAGTGTTTTGATACTCCGGATGATGCGCCAATTCGTAAATAGCCCACGCAGTCGAGGTCCCAGTCGATTCGAATCCAGCAATGTGAAAAGCAGCTGCTTGCGCCAGCAAGTTCTCCCTTTCGAATTCTATAATGTAATTATCAAATGTAGATCAATGTTATTATTAATGTCAACAAGTACCTCTCAATATTCGATGATTCATTAACTTAACAGGAAGATATAAAATATATGACAGTGATAGTAAATTGATATATCTCAACATATAAAATAAATATAATAGTACATATAGAATATCCGGCAATTTAGTATTCAGTCGTGGTGTATAAGTAGAACTCATCAAACTGAATATAAAATTCCTTTACCATTTTGCAAACAACCACGTAAAATTTTTAATTATTAGAGAAGATTGGTAAATGATCACGCGCGATACGGTAGATTAGCTGTAACGTCTGCTGTACTTGTATCTTAGGTCTGAACAAAAAAGTCCTCTATCATTTTATAAATAAACACGCAGATTTTTAGTTATTAATTAAATTATCGCGAGCAATTATGTACTAATCATCTTTAATTAATAACTAAAAATCTACGTGATTACTTGCAAAACAGTACAGGATTTTTTGTTACTATATACTAGATTTGAGGCTTTCACGGCCATTGATACAATGTCTAGGTATAGCTTCCGGAATGGAACCGTGTCTTGAATCAGCGATATGCCGACGTTTCGCAAACGTTGGCTAGAGCTATACCTAGACATATTGGCGGAAGCTATACCTAGACATATTATCTTTATATTTTGTACATCGCGGGTGCGTAACGAGTTGTCAGACACTCTATTGTTATCATACACGGAAAAAAGATATGTGGTGCACCTGACAAAAAATATTTAGTTGTAAGCAAATAGCTGTATCATTCTACATATCTTTGTATGATAGTTATGTGTATGGTTGATTTGACTTACTTTGGTGTGTCAACTACATCAATGAAATTGCGCGTGATCTGGTTGTGACAACCAGAAATTAGTAATGGAATCATTTTGCATAGACATAAATATGGATATTTATCCATTTAGCATTAACCAATGCTATATTGCAAAGCAGTGATGTTAGAAAACAAAGCAATTAACTACACGCACAGCTAAAGATATATACATGTGAAAACTGGTTCTGAGTGTATAAATATGCATTTGTAGTTGCCGCGTTTGTATTAACCATGTATTATCACTGCTGCAACATAAGTAACTCAGCCATTGCTCTTTGGTTACAGCAATCATATAAATTGTTTTTATCTATTGAATCTGGTTTGCACAACTAGATTTCTGTATGGATCAACCATATTGTTTTTTCCATGTATAATTACTTTTATTATTCTGCAGGCTGAATGATACTTACTGAACAGAGGATTCTGTTCTCCATTCTTGAGCATTATCAGAAAGTCTACAAAATCTCCTCTCTTATTTCCTGTTTGTTCTCTATACTTCATACTCGCCTTAAAACATTTGCGGAAATAATTTATAGGCCATGTAGAGAACGGCTTGATTAAAGGAATCAGTGTAGGAATAAAGAAATAAATGATAGTCACCATGGCACGTTTAAAACCTCTGAACATTTTTAGAGCTGCAATAAAGCAATAATGTCTTTAGAGTTGGAAAAAATGTAATGTTAGTAATCATTACTAGTTACGGCAGGACCTCGTTATAAGATTGGTTTTAAATCTGTAAGGATATAAGACGGATTTATAACTTCCTCCATTCTACTAGAAAAAAATTTTACTTTACGAGATATAAGGCCATTAAGAGCTGGATTGTCATGCAATTTTTATATAATGAGGAGGATAATAATGTTTGCGATGTTTTTTGTTTCCACTTTATTATGTTAGAATTGCATAAAGATCTAGCATCTTAATGGCCTTATTTTTCTTATAAAGTTAGATTTTATAGAGATTAAAAACAACTTTGATTACTATCCACGCAAGTGTATTAGCATTATTCAAGGTGTACTACGCGAAGGTTGCTCGGTCGGATTTACATTTTTGCGTGTATATGTGTGTGTGTGT